TTTGACAGTGAATGCTCTGAGAGATGGAGGATCTATGTCTGTTATCATATAATCTATGGTACTACTCCCAAGAGGTGAGCAAAAGGTGTATCTTCCTAAAGTGTCCCCTTGTATCCTACCGTTGACGATGTGCAGACCCAGACTTCTGCAGATCTGTCTCTCTCTGTCTCTCTCTCTGTCTCTCTCTCTCTCTCTCTCTCTCTCTCTCTCTCAGTTCAGTTCATCAGTGCTTTATTGGCACGAATGTTATAAATCACATTGTTGCCAAAGCAAATAGTGCAAGTAGATCAAACCAAAATGTATACAAAAAAAACATATATACACATATTTAAACATTACAGACATCATAAACAGGAACGGTAAATATATATATACATAAAGCAAACAATAACAAAAACCTGACAGGTGAGTGTGTGAACATGGGGTGTGTATTCAGGGTGTGTGCAGGACACTCTGTGTCTTGCTGTCCCTCAGGCTCTCACATTCTGATACATACTTTGCAGCGAAGGCTGCAGTGTTTCCTTCTCCCAGAACGACTCTCAGTTTTCTTTTCATCTGTTAAATTGCAGAAATTTGGAATTTTGTGTGTGATGTTTTGGGTGAAGATGTCTCTCTGGTGTTGATATTTTTCACAGTGCAGGAGGAAATGCAGCTCTGTCTCGCCCTCACCGCTCGTACAGTGAGCACACAGTCTCTGTTCTCTGGGCAGCCAGGTTCTCCTGTGTCGGCCCTTCTCCACGGCGAGACTGTGCTCACTCAGCCTGGACTTGGTCAGGATGTGTCTCTGCTTTATATCTCTGATGGTGAAGAGATACTCTGCCAGTTCATACTCTCTGTTTAGGGCCCGATAGCGGTGTAATCTGGACTGGATTTGGGTCTGACTGTCCCAGTGCTCCAGATACGCCCTTCGCATCTGCTCAGTAATTTGGTTGACAGCGCTGGTCTGAGGCTGCTGTGTGTTAGGAGTTAGTGGTTAGTGTGTTAGTGAGTCTCAGGACCAGCTGACAGAGGGGACTGGTTTAAGGGCTGAGCTCTTGGGTTTTCAGTGCTTCATACTGTAGCGTGCTTTCGTTACTTGATTTAAGATGTTTGCAGAATTTCAGAGCTCTTTTCTGCACGGGTATAATCAGTGGGAATCGGCCTAATTCTGCCCTGCATGCATTGGTTGGGGTTTTTCTTTGAACTTTTAGGATATTTCTACAGAATTGTGCATGTAGGGACTCTGTGGGATGTTTATCCCATCTAGTGTAGTCATGTGTACTGAGTGGACCCCAAACTTCACATCCGTACAGCGCAATAGGTGCAACGACACTGTCGAAGATTTTACACCAAATTCGAGCAGCACCAGGTCATCTGCGTAGAGCAGGAATTTGACTTTGGTATTGTTTAGGGAGAGTCCAGGGGCTGCAGATTGTTCCAGTAACACTGCAAACTCATTGATATAAATATTGAACAGAGTTGTCTCATCCCACGCCCCTGAATGAAGTATTCTGTCCTTTTGTTGCCGAGTTTTATGCTCTCTCTCTTTCTTTTCTCTCTCTCTCTCTTTTCTCTGTCTCTTTTTGTGTGTGTGTGTCTCTCTCTCTCTGTCTGTCTTTCTCTCTCTTTCTTTTCTCTCTCCATGTCTCTCTCTCTCTGTCTGTCTGTCTCTCTCTCTCTCTCTCTCTCTCTCTCTCTTGTCTGAAGTTTGGATGAAAAGGTTTAAATAAGGTTTTAATTGACTTTTTAAACCATATTATTACTGTGGTTTAATTATGACATGTTTGTGTATTTATCTACCTTTTTATTTATGCAATCAACTATTGATATTTATTTATTCATTCATTCACTTATTTAAGTAGGTATTTAAAACTGCTATTTATTTGATGTAAAAACGGTGGCCACATTTTAACCACATGAGTGGTTAAAATAAAGGACTGTAAAGTCTAGAGTCTCTCTTTCTCTCTCTCTCTCTCTCTGCCTCTGTTTTTTCTGTCTCTCTTGTTTTGTTTCTCTGTGTATCTCTCTTTGTCTGTCTCCCTCTCCTGCTTTCTCTCCTCTCTTATTTGATTTTGTGTTATAGCTTTGCTAGTAAGTTACAGTGTGTATATCTTTTGAGATGATGTATACATGCACATATATGTTTTTGCCCTGGATTTTATTTATGTCAAATTAATTTATTTTTTAATAGGACAATGTTTTAGTAATTATAATAAAGGTCTTCTGAAAATTCAAATTCTCTCTATCTCTCTCTCTCTCTCTCTCTCTCTCTAGCAACATAGTCAGCTTTCAAACTACACTTCCCAAAACGTGTCATTATTATCCTTTGCTTGAGCTGGGTATTTTGTTTGTTTGTTTGCTCCAGTGTATGGGTGTAACGGTTTGATATTCTCACGGTAAGATATGCTATTCTAAAATATCACAGATTCAAGGTATCGTGGTATTAATCTAGCATTTAAAAACACACAAGATGGTTAAACTAAAAGATCAAATCCCTTAACTGGTTTTCTTTCTTAGAAAAGTATTTCCAAGAACGCTTATTCCATAAAAGCTTGCACTGGGCCTCGATTATCATGCTGGATACAAATAGATTTATGTGTAAATCATTTGTACAAGTGTTTACACAAGACGTTTGGCATTCATGAAAATCTTGTAAATTCGGCATATGCAAAGATTTATCGCTCACTTATTATTATTATTATTATTATATATTAAATAGGTTTATTGGCATAGAAGTGAGTCAAAATAACATCCACTTCTATCTTTCAGTACCCTCATCATTCATTTCAAGTCAAAATAAATTCCACTTCTGTCTTTCAGCCTTTACCCTGCTTGTTCATTTCATGCTCCCAGCTGTTTGTGTATTTGAACTTTTATGGAGTTTTGTGGGCGTCGCCACATGCAAATGAGCTGCGTCAGGAACGAGCTTTGCACAAAATGGTGATCAACATATGCATGCAAGTACGGAGGAATTCTGCCTTTCCGAAACTTTTATAAATCCAGTGGAACATTTTTGTTCAGTTTGGATTATGCAAACTATCATGGTTTCAGGATATCATGGTATTAATCTAACATTTAAAAACACACAAGGTGGTGAAAATTAAAGCCAAATATGCAACAAAATATGCATCACCTAATTGTTTTTCTTCAAACTACTTTTTAACTTATAGAGTTTAGGAAATGAACAACTTCCTAAGAAACATATTACTGTTACTGTGCTCTATACTAAAGCTAACAATAGCAGATGATACTATTGTTCATAGTATGGTTTTAAATAAATAGATAGCACGCTTGCCTCGCACCTCTGGGGTTGGGGGTTCGATTCCCACCTCCACCCCATGTGCATGGAGTTTGCATTTTCTCTCCGTGCTTCGGAGGCTTGCTCCGGGTATTCTGGTTTTCTCTTTTGAGAACTGCATGTTTTAGCATGTAATTCACAGTGTTGGTTCTTTGGTATAATTAATCTTTAACCAGGTAATAGATTTAAAATTTAAAGCGGGGAGGAGGATTTAAGGGAATGAAAACTGATCAGAAATGTTCCATACTGATCTATTTTCAGACATCATCTTCCTTGTCTAGAATCCCTCTGAGCAGAAACGTAAGGTCAAATCAAAAATCAGAGGCATTTACAGGAACTCTGATTTTGGACTAGTTGCCTTTTGGACATTTTCTGCAAGAGGGCTGTTTTCCTTTCATCCTGGAGTCCATGACTAACGAAACAAACCTCTTCCAGAAGCGGAGCAGCTTTAAGCCTCCCTGAGGGAACGTGCCAGATGAATTTGAAATGTGTTTCCTTGCTTGAGTAAAACATTTCAAGTTCCTTTTAATCAAACTGTTTTGTTTATTTTTATTTTTAAATTGTTGATTTAATTTCCTTATAGAGAGCAGAGACTAATTTTCTTCTATTTAACCACATTTAACGTGTATAATTATCCCCTGCTGAGTTCACCCCACTGGCTGCGTGTTGCAACAAATTTGAAACCTTGTGTTTGTGGCATTGGGTGGAAAAGGCTCTGCACCATATCAGCTACAAACCCATAATGGAGATCACTGTACAGGCCAGCTGGACACACTCGTATGCCAGCTAAGGTCTTTCACTTTAGGGCTGTTGGCATGACTGCTGCTCATAAGGTGAGATCTCAGTGCTTCAGTGTCTGATCACCCCAGTGGTCATTGCATTCCTACTAGAGGGGTCAAATACATAGATAATATCTAGGATAATGTTTGTTGCGGGTGGCACAGTGGTGCAGTGGGTAGCACTGCATGAATGAATGAATGAATAATATTGTCAGTAGAATAGAGTCCACTTTGAGAAACATGGGTCTATACTGTGAAATAAAAAAAGCATCCTAAAAAAAATCTACCACCCTAATGGATTCAATTATTTGTTCCTCTGGGGAAAACCCTTAAGTTCGATGTAAACCCTACATTACAAGGTGTCTGTTTTAAAAATATTCCAAACAGAACCCCTTTAGAAAGCTAGAAACATCGCTTTCCACAACCCCTGAGGAGTTTCTTATTTTAAGAATGTGAGCTATTTCTTTTACGCTCATTCATTTATTCATTTTCAGTAAACGCTTTATCATGAGCAGGGTTGTGGTGGATCCAGAGTCGATCCCTGGAACACTGAGTGCAAGCTGGGAACACACCCTGGATGGGAAGTCAGTCCAATGTAGGACACCACGCACACAAACATTTACACACTCATTCTCACCTATAGTTAATCTTACCAGCATGTTTTTTGGGCTGCAACCCTGAGGTGGAAACGCTGCCACCCTGTTTAACATTCACTTTCTCTTTACAGAACTACAAACTTTAACATGTCTGAAATGTTGGGTCAATGGTGTAATTATCACTTAACCAGATTCCAGACAGTGTGTTTACATTTAAACTGTCCTGTTTGGTTACATTTGTGGCATTTGGCAGACACCCTTATCCAGAGCAACTTACATTTATCTCTTTTTATACAACTGAGCAGTTGAGGGGTAAGGGCCTTGCTCCAGGGCCCACCAGTAGCAGCTTGGTGGTACTGGGGATTGAACTCATGACCTTCCAATTAGTAGTTCAACACCTTAACTACTGTGCTACCACAGTTGTTACACAGTAGATCACTCTGGCACGTGTACAACATCTTTGTACAGCATTCATTACAGCATGCAGTGCTTTTCTTGGCTGCACCTTCAGCTGTTTGCACTCCACTCTGGATACGAGTGGCTGCCAAATGACTAAATGTAAATAACTGCGACTATTCATCTCTATTCTGTGGTCTTCAGCTCTCTGATGGCTTGGCTATACAAGCTGCAGGAGAAACAACCTCTTCCAAAGTAAAGACGTACAGAACTGTAAGAAGCTCTATATCTGTGGATTTTATAGTACTGATAATATTGCAGAATCTCGTTCATTTTAGGGTATACTGAGATGTTTTCAGATCCAATAATTACAGGAACAAGGAACAACAAACAGTGCAAACCCTCAACTTGTTTGCTTTACATCATACGCTTGAACTGGTGTGTGAGTACAAACAGCAGTCAATAAACCATGGAAGCCCAATTTCTGCTGGGTAGAAAAGGAAAAAAATGCACAACAGATTTTTTGTTCTTTATTTTCAGCAGCAGCAGGACGTATGTCAAATCTTTTGACTTATTATCCCTAAATTCTTACTTATGACCTCAAAATGTTGACATATGACAACAGGGCTATGCAAGTAGTGAAAATAATGTGTCCTTTTAAATCTTATCTTGTGCATAGCTCATAGCTGTTTACCTAGCTTCGCAGGTATGTAACTAGCATGCTAGCTTGATAGCTAACATAGCTAGCTGTTCAAATGATGTATCATTTGGTGAATTCATACCACAGGAGTTTACTTTAAGATGCTGTTTTCATTGGAAGCCCGGCTTCCCCTAAAAATTCATTAAAATGCAGCAATGAAATGTTTCTATATTAAATATAGAAACGTGTCTATATTATTTATTAATCTTGGTGAAATTCAATATTTTAGCAAATCAAATTGCATTAAAAGAAATATCTCAAACGGTAATGAACACAGACAGAGTGCTCAGAGCTGCAGCAGTGGTCAGTAATCCATAACATGGCAGACATGACCAATTTTGTCGACGTGCTCTTACTTATTAGGAGAGACTGAGGAGATGCTGAGAATTAAACAGGAGGCCAGACCACCATATGAAACAGAACACACACAGGTGTATATATACTTCAATAACAGATACCTGTGCTTCCCCTATTTAAAAACCACCAACCGCCACTGATTCATACTCATAGTAAACAACCTGCTATTCCTGTTAATCAAAACCTTTTTCTATATACCATCCAACAAACACATCCTCATCAGTTAGCCCCATCACTGCCATTTCTTGTGTGATTGGAAGGTAGAACCAAGTGATCAATCATGATCCCAAATGTCAGGGGCTACTGCCTACTAATGTATTAGTTTTGGGGTGTGCACACTTATAAAACTAGGTTATTGTAAGTTTTTTTTTTTTAATTTTTTCCTACTTTCCCTAAAATGTTTCTGGTTTTCACCTAACTTTCATACGTTTAGTTTTACATCGAGGGTGGAAAAAATTCTGACATGATTTATCTTGGTTTCATTTTTTATTTATTTATTTATTTTTTTATCACCAAAACGTGCCATTTTAACAGGGGTGTGTAGACCTTTTAAAAAAGTTTCTTTAACAAGGCAGTTACGAGATTCTCGTCTATTCTAATTCAGTATAATCAATTATTATTTTGGTGTATCAAGTGAAAAATTCAACATCATTTAACATAATCTTGCAATAATCACAACAAGAAAATAAGTTTTAGATTACATCAGATTAGATTCAATTTTATTAGGAGAATTAGTCAGAACTGTGAAATTAAAAGTCATTTTTTACAGGTTTAAAAAAATAAGATAAGTAATACATTTGAGATAATAAGACAAAATGTAGAGATAATATGTTAAAATCTTGAGGTAATACGTCAGACATTTGAATCTAAATCCTGAGATAAAAAGTCTAACTTTTGAGATAAGCCCCAATCTTTGGGTAATATGTCAAAATTATAATTTTATAATAATATGGCAAATTTATGAGATAATATGTCAAACGTTTGCTGCTGGCAAAAATAAGGAAAATGTCCTTTTTTAAAAATTTGTCAGAAATGGAATTTTATAACAAACTGTTTAATATAGGAATTAATTTTTTTTTAATTGGTAAAGAGACATTTTAAAAACAATATCGCAGCAACCAGCATATGGTTTCACAAACCAGGCGTAACTGTAACTATACAAATTTAAAGAATACTAAGGATATTGCTGTCATTATTTTGCCATTTTTTTCTCATTATCTTGAGTGATTCAAATTAAATACGTAATTCTATTTTTTTAAAGAGTAAACCAGGGCAGAGACTCCACTGGTATATGAAAAGTTTTTCCAGATTTAAATACAAATCTAATACTAATTTAACGCATATCTGTCGGTCTTTTTAATAACGGTCACGAATACGTCTTCCGCCACGTGACCGGAAGTACCACATCTGTTAAGATGGCGACTCCCTATGTAACAGATGAGTCTGGTGAGCTCTTTGATTTTGTTGTCATTGTTAAAAGCAGTATAGTACGCCAGTTTGAGAATGTATTTGCTTTATTTGCGCTGGACATGTGTGAGCAGTGGATGTGAGCAGTATTCGCTGTGAAATAAGGGAAGCTGAATCGGTTAGCGGTGTAGCATGCGCGCTTAGCCAGCTGCCAGTCCCGCAGTCTGAATGAACCTCCTGCCCTAAGTCCTCAAACAGCGCCGGGCTGCAGCGTTCACCTCATTATACAGCGCCTTGTGTTTATCACACACACTAGCATTTAACAGGCAGTGGTCACTTACCTGGATTCATAAGCGGTCATGTTTTTTTTCCC